ACATATATATGTAATCTACAGGTTAGTGCTGCTTGTTTCAAAGGCCCTCTGTAGAGCAATATTATTGACAAAAGTGCAGTAACAGAAAAATGACGAGTTGAAATGATGACAAGAGCAGCACCACCACTCAGGTTTCATGTTTTTATATTTCTGCCACTTGAATCTAAAAATCAATGAATAAGTTTTCCTTTTATGGAGTCAGAGTGCAGAATGCGGAGGATGGGTCGTGACCTTGGGCCAGAATATGCTAGAAGATMACTGTCAGCTGAAAACAAAAAGGAAAAGAAAACATTGCAGTACTGAGCTGTGAGGTCTTCAGCATTTTCAGAAGAACATTTCATCAAAAGTTTCAAGGTGTTAAAAAATCAAAGCTGTAAGGTCAAACCAAACAGTAATGAAGGATTGTTGGATGTGCTGGACCCACCATCATCACCACWCCCACAGGTTCTTCACTTGAAAATGGGAAATAGCTATTTATCCATATCTTTTTACCCTCTTTTACTCTAGGAGAACATGTAAACATCACAGCAAAAGGCAGGGAGCCGAACCTGCAACCTTCCCCCTGCGAGGCAACAGCTGCTTCGTGCTGCAAAATGATAAATRTATATCCTTAAAACATTACATATAAAGTGTTTTACAATGTGTTCCTCATTCACCAACAATCATCAGAGAACTGATGAATTTTTCAACATCTTATTACTGTACAAAAGCTGATTATTTGGAATCAAACTGTTCAAATTAAACAACAATTGGTATAATTAGAGACTCAGATCTGTTTTCTGTTTCCTATAGAGCTGCCACCAGACTGAGCCTGTGGCTTAGGCACAATTGATTTTTCTTGATTACAATGGCTGAATGAAATATGTTAAAATTCTTGAAGAACATTCTGTTTGTTGTGATTATATTTGATATTAAAGCAAAGAAACTGGATAATATGATAGTTGTGTAATTATTTAAGAGACTAAATGTTTATAAAACTTCTCATAAAAGCTGCTCGACTGCTTGTCTGCACTTTTTTTCTGTGACCTTGTTGCTCTTTTTTTCACGAATTTGTACTTTTTTTAGCTCTAGGGTGAAAAGTGAAATCATCTTGCGTTTGATACTTTTCTATGATTGCGTTGTTTATTTATTGKTTTATGTTTATTAGTCCTGCTTCCTGCTCTCCTGTATGTGTAAAGGGAAATGTTAGCAGCGGCCAATGTTGCTATTGTCTCAGGATGATGATGTCATAGCAGCAAAGGCTGAGTTCCATTCCAAAACACCTAAATGTGAACTTCAACATTTAAGGCCCCCACATACTTGGGTGTACTTCACTCCGCAGAGGTCCGAGTGGACTCACTGAGGACTTGAAGTGGCCGTGCACCAGACAGGTCCGCACAAAGATGAATTTTTTTTACATCCGCCGTGTCGCACATTACTCTGCCTGGCGCTCCTTCAGGCTCGTACGAAACCAGGGTTTCACAAACATTTCGAGTCCCTTAAGATAACAACAGCTCGCTCTTTTAACAAAATTTACTTGAATGTTGGAAGGTAACATAAGTTTATGAGCTCTATACATTAACAGTAAAATATTATAATTGACCAAATCCTATAATTTTAATTATTTCAATTTTATAAAATAATATATTCGATGGATGGCTTTAATTTTTTTTGTAATAATTCTTAGAGCTCTTTCCTGTAAAATAAAAATAGGATTTGTGATAGTTTTGCAAGCTTTACCCCAGACTTCAATACAGTAAATTAAATGTGGAACAATTATAGCATTATACACCATATATAGTTGCTTCATTTTGTTCAGTAAATAAAGTTTTTTTTGTCAGCCATTAGTTATCATTCTATATTCCTCTTGGTCGTGTTTTTTAAATTCCTCTGCCTTTCATTTATTAAAGTTTCATGTTTAAACCAGACTTCCTGCCGTTGCAGCATCTTTTGTTTAGCTAAATAAACCAAAGTTTATTATTCTCCTTCCGTGCTCGCCTCTGAACTTGAACTGCCTTTAGGTCTTCCACTTCTCTTCACAGAGCAATTTCCCTTCAAGTACACAACACCAAAGGTATCATAAATGTGAGCAGATGGCAGTTTGCACCGTGCTTTGATTTATTGTAATTTTCTCTGCGTCRGGCAGGCGAAGAGGAGGAGGGGCAAAGCAGGGCCACAACAGACAAGAGCAGCTGTGACGAGAATGAAGAATGTAGTGTATGTAAAGGATTAGAAGAGAGGTCTGCTTTCACTCACCGATAAGGGAACAGAGACGTCGATACARCAGCAAACAAACAACAGAATTAGTCTCAAGATGCCAGATTATTCATTATTAGAAACAATGTGGCCTGCAGCATTTTCTCACATCTGACAGCAGAGATTCATATCATCTGGAAGCAAATCAARCAGCTGATATTTTCATAAAAGAATAATGAAGCATTCAAAAGAAGAAAAAGTTGGTTTTAAAWTTTTTTAATGTTTTTGTGCCACGTGTGTAGAGATATTTAGCTGGATTGTCAAGTTTAAACAAGGCTACTGTATCTTCCTTTCGTTGGCCCATTTCTCATAAAAGCTCTGAAACCCCCCAAAAGTGAAGTCATCAGCATAAAGACGCAGAGTTTGAGAGATAAGATGCTTTTGCTTATTTCTCRTTTATTTTCCCTCCTCCCAAGTTTGTGGAGTTTTCAACTTGATGTCAAACGTTGTGGATAATAGATAAAAAAGACCCATGCTGAACAAAATTACACACCTATGTCACTCATATAAGGAAGTAGTGGGTGTTCGTTCAGAATAAAAAGTGGGGACACCAAACAATCAAACTGYGTTTTATTGTTTGTTTTGTTTTGGTGAGAATGTGAAAATGCTTGTGGCCTGTGGCGGCAACATTGTTCCTGGTTCTCAGCATGCAGACTGCTGTCTGCAGGCTATTTGTGGCCATAAGGCATCTATAAAAGGAAATCTGCCGGATGACACAGACCAACACTAATGCACATTGAAGTTTAAGAGAGGAGCTGAAAAGTGCTTCCCCACATCGGCTTTGATGACAGCTGAAAAGTGACTCTGAGACCTGGAGAGGAGCTACGTGCCTGAGTGACGGCAATCAGAGGCAGACATGGAAAGTTTGAGTAAAAATGTGGGGAAGGTAAGAAAGACATGTCCATTTTATTTACAGTAATTATTGTGTGAAAACTGTGTAAACAACCCCTCTGCAAGGTGTAGAACACCTTTTAGCCTTTTCTTTCTGCTGACATTTTTTGTTAACAGGCTGTTTTTTCTTTTTCTTTTTTATTAATTTAACTTTAAAGTTAGGTCTGAGTTGAAAAAAGTTCAAATTTTATTTATCAACACTGTTTTATATCTTTCTCCTCATTATAACCTCTACTAGCCACACACACGCATGCACCCCCACCCTCCACACACACACACCCAYGCACACACACAAAMATGCAGACAGTTTTATAGTCAGATGCTGCAATTTAAYACTGAACCTGCAATTTTCCAACATATAAAACTTTTACGGTCAGACATTTCTGCAGAGAATGCACCTGTAACCTGTTATCACACAGCTTTCAACTGTAATCATTTTATGAAGATTTAGCCATTTTAGTCAAAGTACATAACAATTTACGAGACCTTACACAGTTTGATAGCACTCGAAGTGTGTGTTGAGGATGATTCTCAGCTACTACCACACCAAATCTTAAGTCAACATTTGTAAACAGAATTACAGCAAACCTCTCCGTTTGATTAAACTTGATTAGCCGTATTGGTATAATTGAATTGGGTTCATTCTAAACGTTAATGAGTCATAAATGCAAATCTCATTATTGCTTTCTGAAAGTTTCCTTAAACTCTATCATCAGGGGGCGTTTTGCTAACAAACCGGTCTGACTTCAATAGCTGATGCTAAAGTTTTAGTCAAAGATGTGTCTCAGTGTGTAGTCCTCTGACTGCGATGACTCAGCAACTAAGTTTCAGATTAATATTTATGAATGTTGTGTTTTGCTGAGGTTGCCATCTTGAGTTGTGCTGACTCCAAAACTTTATTAGTTGTCGATGTACAGAGTTTCATTGAAATCCACCATCCATTGTGACATATTTTGCACACGCACACACACAGTATATATTGCCATCTATATGGGGTGCCATTTGTAAAGTTACACTGTCAAAAATTACCACCGATATTTTTGTTTTATTTAGCCTTTTATAAGAAAAAAAGAACAGATTTATTTTTCAGTCAGTTTTTTACCATATGATTCATACATTTATAAATGTCATAGTTTATAAACTAAATATTGAACTTACAAATTAAATATTTAGTTAACAAGCTAAATATTTAACTTGTGACTTAAATATTTAGTTTTGAGCTAAATATTTAGCTTGCAACTTAAATATTTAGGTTTCAACTTAAATATTTAGGTTGCAACTTAAATATTTAGCTAGCAAGTTAAATATTTAGCTAGCTACCTAAATATTTACCTTGAAACTTAAATATTTAGCTAGCAAGTTAAATATTTAGCTAGCTACCTAAATATTTAAGTTGACACTTAAGTTAAATACTGTATTTAGGTGGCTAGCTAAATATTTAACTTGCTAGCTAAATTTTTAAGTTTCAAGGTAAATATTTAGCTCAAAACTAAATATTTAAGTCACAAGTTAAATTTTTAGCTTGTTAACTAAATATTAAATTTTTAAGTTAAATATTTTGTTTATAAACTGTGACATTTATAAATTATGAATCATATGGTGAAAAACTGACTTTGAAAAATTAATCTGTTCTTTTTTTCTTATAAAGGGATAAATAAAACAAAAATAATGGTAATTTTTGACTGTGCAACTTTACAAACGGCACCCCATAGCCATCAGCAGCGAGAGATAATAACTATTATTATGCAACAAACTAAAACCGTTTCACTTTTTTCTTTTTATACACACAGTTATAGTAAATTTACGTTTATTCTTGTATATATTTGTTTGTAGTTTGCGTGCTCAGTTGCAGCTGCCATTGATCTAAATTTGCCCACACTTTCTACTCATGACGCAGGGTGTGTGTGTGTTTGTTTGTGCTTAAACTCTTTACTTGGAGACACGCCTCAACGGTTTATTCAGGCACGGAGGCGAAACCATCCTGATATAAATATTAAGATCTGCGGCACGCAGCTGCCTCAGATTAGCAGCTGTAATTATGGCAAAAGAAATAAGCATTAATGACAAGCACAGATGTCGCTGTGAGATTAATGGGTGACTTTGAAAACGATCGTGAGAACAAGCTGCTGAGAAGAGAGGGGCATTGCAATGTTAACAACAAATAAGGTGTTTTTAATTTATTTAGAACATWTTTTTAAAATTTAGTTTTCTCAAAGAGTGTTGCTTTCTCGTGGGTCACTGTTAATGTGAGCCCTGACTCAGAGTGACCTCCTTCACTAAAGGATTTAGAGCCTCCAGTATTTGGTGTTTGGGACGAGAGCATGCCTGAAGTGATAACTGAGACTGTCACGCACGTCGTGTGCTGACATTCGGCACAGCGAACCAAAACCAGTTCGAAATGTGATCCATGAGGACGGCATGATCTCGGCAACGCTCTCCCTGATCAGCGCTCAGCTGCAGYGAGCACCGCTTGATAAAGCTTTGATAGTGTAAACTTCCCCCGCTCTCATCACAGAGGACAAGCAAACAGGGAGGTTTCGTAATCACATGTAAACAAGCCTAATGGCTATTTTAGTCGAGAACTCTGGTGAGTATTTTTAAATGCGGAACTGATTACAGACACGTCGGATATAACTGCAGCCTCAAACAGCTCYGGTGGTCTGAGCAACCAAAATAAACAGACAGATATTTCTGACTGAGGGCGTTTTCCTTTCTTTTTTTTTCTTTTATTAATGAAATTTTGTTCATTATGCAACCTGGATCTCATATCTGAAACCAATTTAATGTTTAAAGTGATTCCAATAATGATCAAAGATTTAATCAAATAATATAATATAATAATCTAATCTAACTAAGGCCACCATCGTGAAAATGAATAAAAAAATGTATAAAATATGCACCGTGCATGATGTAATCTGCCACTTGACACTTTCTACACTCCTTTACATTTTCATGTAATCAGTTCTGATTAAAATAAAAACCATTATTAAAATATAATCCAACTTATCATCACTTGTTAATCTAAATAAATATGATAAAAAGACAATGCCTGCTGTTTATCACTGTCTTATTAGACTTTAGAGGCTTTTTTCAATGTAAAAGCAAACCTGAACAAAACACCGCATGTTAATGAGGCACATTAAATCCTTTCACAAAGGTCGAGTGCATCTGCATTTCTGCTCTGCCCTCCTTGTGAAAATGCTGCACATAAACAATAATTCCAAGAATCCTGCAGCGCAAACAAGCATACATTTACACACATTATGTGCTTTTACCTTGTCAACAGCAGCCACTGTTCGGAAGCTGCAGCATTCACTTTATATGGATATAAAACATGGATTCTACATGCGTGCAGATCCACCAAGCCAAGCCTTTTCAGAAGAATTCTCTTTGTTTTGTAGAAACGTAGCTAATAAAGCAATAACTGTGCTTTTCAAGTTTCCAGTTAATTTTTTCAGACCTTGGCGTGTCTCTGCATTGATCTTGTCTTGTATTAGTATTATTAACAGTTAAGAACACAAAAAACTAAACGTAACTGATCACCTGGCATTTTCTTCWAGTCACAATCCACATTAGAGTTTTCCTTTTGAAACAAACTTCCTGTAAAGACTGCAGAGTGTCTCAAAGACAATTTGCTGTGATGTTTCAATTCAGCACAATAAGCKTTGGCGATCAAAAGTAGGCCAGCTGGTTTAGTTCATTTTTGTTTTAAAAACCAACAAATGAATGACGAATAAATGATCATTTAAAACAATCAACATTCACTAACCCTGTCAGTCCCTCTCAATCAGGCGTTCTGTGATCCAGTCGTCACTGCTCCACCTGCAGCTATATTCTCTGCAGTAGGCTGACTAGAACATATTTCAGTGGCCTCGCTCTCCAGTTTGCATCTTGCAAATGACCCGACAATAACACTGCAGAAATAAGAGCTGTGATTAAGTTGGGGAAGCTCTTCGGATGAGAGTGGGCCCTGATTGCTGCAGCGGAAACAGCTCAGATCACGACTAACAACTTTGAACTCAAATTGCAAATGGATTTCTGCTGATTAAAATAATAATAATAATCTTTTTAAACGGGTAAGTCGCTACGTCTTTTAGCAGTTTTGGGTAAATTTCATACACAGGCACAAACCAGTTGCTCTTATCACAGAATCACAGTGATGCTGGTGTCTGACACAGAAAATAACCAGTGATTTCTGAGCATAAAAAAAAACAGTCAACCACTTGGTGACAGAGACCCATGGGGTGAAAACGTGACAGAGCAACAAATGCAAAGATCAAGTTTTTTCTTTTCTTTTTTACAGAGAGAAACTGAATAAAGAGGCACCTTGATAAACCTTGTTTATCTGTAGAGGAAAAAGAAAGATAAAATAAGAGGGTTTGATAGAATTACATGAATTTTATAGTTTAAGTCTGGTGACTGCCTTGAGCTCTAAGAGTYCCTTAATTCATCCTTCATACAGCAGAGCTTGTATTTCCACTTTTAGTTGTTACATGTGTCCTTGAGTGAAATGGCAGCATAATGTGTTGTTGACAAATGKGYCCTTTTAAARGATTAGAAAAGCTGGATTTTTMTTTGGTTTGGGCTGTCAAACTGAAATCAATAAATAGTGTTGAGATGTTTTGGCCGACAAAGTTTTGGCAGTAGTGGCAAAAAACAAAAAGGTACAAAGTTGGATTTAATTTTGAAAAACAGAAAATGTTTTTTCACATTGGCTGCTTATRACATTAAACTCGAACAATTCAAGGATTGATATGAATTCAAGCTGTGCAACAATAACAACAAAAAAAGGACAATCAAGGTAAGAAATATAGTATAAAACAAGGCAAATATTTTTGATTAGCTGCCACAAAAGTTTCGTGAAAACTGCCGACATGTTGAATGCAGGAGGCAGAGAAGAGACGTGTTGCTTGTATGAACAAAMGAGGGTTTTCAAATCTACATCAGTAAAAAGTTTGCTTCTTTTTATTGTCACAGCGTGAGAAAGTCTCTACAGGTTGTCACAGCGGGCTGTCAGGACCTGTTGAACACACACATGGACCCTTCAGCTGCTCAGAGTTCCTGCTTATTTGAAGCTTTACATTTATAGTTTTAGCACTAATTTACTTGACTTTATGTAATATTCAATCATCGTATTCAGTAAAAATACATGCGTTTATAAAAGAGGACAYATTGTTTGTACATTTTCATTAATATTTATTGCACATGGCATTTGAAAGCTATTTCTTATAAAGTACTTTCCAAGAAAATGATTATTTCTTCTGCTTTGTAACCGACAGGGTTTGGCAGGAGGCTCAGTTAGACCTGCCACATTCAGTTTTGYGCCCGTGGTGAGCAAGCTGCCAAATTCAATTAAAGGAATTCTTAAAAAAGACGAGACATCTGCAGGAAAATCAGACAAGGTACGGCAGCATCACACATTTACAAAGTGWCTAAATGAAATTTCTGTGGTTTCAGGATTTGTAAGCAAAACAAAAMGTTTGTGTTAGTTTTGTGCTTTAAACCGTGTGTGCAGCTGTTTGACTTTGTGTTTGCTTCATTCTTCATTTGTCGTGTCGCTGCGCTGAGTAATACAGACTAATTGTTCATCATTTAACACCCGTCTTTGTTAAGCCTAAAGACTCAAGGTGTGAAATTTAACAAATTAGCAACTAAAATGCACAATGGCTGTTTCTGAACACTAGTATCTTTCAAGTAKTTCAAAGTATTTTAGAACTCATTCATTTTGAAAATTACATTTGTTGTTTTCATTACTTCTGTAAACCACAGCTTGAAACTAAACTCTACTTTGAAAAAAACTTACCTTCAGAATACAGCTGACAAAATGAGACTATCAAGATGAGATTTTATGGAACTTTACTTTCTTTAAATCAGACAGAAAACCACCTCCTGGTCCTCGGGGGTCACTATCCAGCACATTTTCCTTGTTTCTCTGCTTCAACACTCCTGATTCAGTGATTAAATTACMCMTTTAAGTTCTGCAGAAGCCTGTTAATCCTCCATTTWTTCAAATGTGGTGTGTTGGAGCAGAGAAACCTCAGGGTAGTGGCCYTCGAGGACCAGGATTGGACCCCCCTGATCTAAAAGGCTCATGAGGCAGAAAATCTATTTCTGCACCTTGTCGGCTGCAAAAATGACTTTAGTGATTAATCATGTCTGATAAMTGATAACCTTTTTTTATTTGCTTCTGGGGAATAATCTGTCTGACTTTCATCTGATGCACTTTGACCTGCTTCGACTCCATAAAATGCTTAAATTTAGAATTTGAACTTTTTTTTACATTTTCCCCTGCAGACAAAAGAAAGAAAAAAAGCAGACTGCTTAAGACATTGCCCATTTATAAACTTTTCTTTCAAATCACATGATGTTAAATTTAATATGATGATGTATAGGTTAATAATTACACAAATGGCATCCTTATCAGTGACTTCAAAGTGTTTTAACATCAAACGCATTGAACTGCTGCCAATCAATTTATTTAGTTTAACATATTAATTTTCAAAACTTTAAAACAAAAGTTAATAG